TAGGAAGAAATTCTAACAATGCAAACTTTTATTAAACGAATTCCTTACGCAATGCATGCATATTATGCACAAACTACAAAATATGTACGCAGAAAAAGCAATAAGAAATCGTATGGTATCAATCTAAAATTATCACGAGCTACCAATTTGTGAAAAGAAGTATTCCAAATAAAGCATTTAATACAATTAAACAAAGCATGACAACCCAGAAATAAATTACATCAAGAGCCTCTGCCACTTCTTGTCCATTCATGTAGGAACATTCTTCTGCATTCTCTGCTTTGATATCTTTTTCATTCTTCTCTGCGTGTTCAAATGACGTCATTGATAATCTAGACTTTTCTCTTACAATTTCAAAATTTAGATTTTTCTGTCTCCGTTTCATGACCATTTTCACAAGAAATTCCGGAAGACGATGTTGCATCCTCGAATTATTTGAAAAATGTACAATGAATATACTCCATAAAACTCCAACGGTATTGATACAATTTATCGTTAGAACTTGGTACGAAAAGTAGGGCATTTTCAGAGAATTTTTAGGAATCGTTTCAGTTACTGCTGTTGCAGTTAAGACCAATGATAAGTATAATGTTATTGCAAATGATAATCTTTCACCAGAGTCAGGTCGTATAAAACAAGTTGCCATATTTAGACAAGACATAAGCGTTAAAGGAGCGAATGCAGTAATGATTTCAAAGGTTGGTCTTCTTTTCAAATACAATGATGTTTGAAACATTGGAAATGTTACATCTTCTATGTGATTTTCTTTTACATGCAATATCTGTGCATCAAAGTTTATAATTTCCCATTCACCATGTTCTTTTAAACCACTTAGATAAACAGCCGGTTTTGGAGAATTGAGTATCAGATCTGAAGAGTCGTGGTTTGACACAACAAATCGAAACATACAAGTATGAATATCATAAGGATATGATGTAGTGTCAATATTACATTTGGTCTTATAACTTCCGGCTGGAATAACCTTTACCAATCCTTTATACGTTGTCCATGCAGGTGCAAATCCGCTGCCGTAAATCGAAGAGTCTTCATTTGCTGGTCCATTTGTTAAATAAAACTCTGGTTTCCAGTACATTCCTTTGGGTAAAGGGATCTTTGATTTACCTCTGTACAAAGTCGGGTTCCAAAGAAGCATCTCATCTATCCATTTGATTTCAAAACAGCTTGTGATAAGCAGCTCTCCAGATGCGATGTCAAATTCTTCAATGCTTTTTATAATATGTTTGAAATTTACCTGGAAAAACAACATATAATGTTTACATATAGCTCTCAATAAGTTTAGGAAATAACAAAAAAAAATACATAATGAAAAACAAAGTTTAGCGTACCGTTAAAACTAATTAATACCATAGTTAATTTTCAGACTGCTAAGAATTTCTCGAACCCCATTTAAGAATTGTATTGAAATAGAATGTTCAATCAATCCGATTCGAGGTAAGATTTAATATAAAAAGATAATGAGTTTATCTTAAATGATAGAAGTCCCAGTAAGATTCGGAATTCTTATTATCAAATAAAAAGTAAAGCGTAAACATACCTTGATAACATGAGTCTGGTTGTGGAGAGGTCTAACAAATTTGTTATATCTTGAAGCATTGAATAAATGTCCTAGTAAAGAGTCCATTTCAGTGTATGTCTGCCCAAGCGATGTCCCGATAATTTTAATAATCATCGTGTAAAATATAGCTTTATAAGTGTGAATTTTTTTCATTTTTCTAATATTAATAATAATAATAATGATAACAATAAAATAAAATAACAAAAGGTTCTGACATATATAAATCCAAGTCTTTCGTTTTGAAAATTGCTAAATTGTTCCTACTGTAACAGATATAAGGTTATTTGTAACAAACATTTACTCTGCGAATTTTTAGAGTAGATTCTGCTTGTAACTGAGGTTATCATTGATTTAAGTGATAAACACCGGATATTTCTCCATTAATTGTTATGTTGAGTAGCAATACTAATATGTTGATATTTGTATTCGCATCGTCGGTATTTGTTTTTGTTATTGATTTATATTATAGCACATACCTGGAAAACACTCTTAGGACATTTACAAATATTTAATCAACCATTGGTAATTGGATAAGCAGTCCAGTAAGCGGGCTCGAAAGCTATTAACATAAGTTGCAAGAACTTGTTTCGCAATCGAGCTTCAATAAATAGGTTGAAACTAAATTAAAAATAAATTTCGGTACATGCGATACTAGGTTTTAATTTCGATTTATTTAGAAAGTGAGGGATGTGTTTTCAAATATTTGTTATGTTCTCTTGTTTCAAATGATATTTTGTTTACAATCAATTGTACTCTGCTCGCATTATTATTTTGTATCTTCCTTTCTTTATACTTTTCAAAAATTCAAGTATTTTAAAGGTGCCACATATGTAAACATACTTAATATACGCCATTTCTATTTCATCCATTGCGATAGAAATATTACTATTCGCACTGAATATGTCAATATTGTATATTTGTAAAACAATATATAAACATGTAAACGATACACAATATATAAAAGAAGAGCAGTGGAACGTTATAGAAAAATCGAATTGATAAATGTTTACAGAAGACAATAAAATGAACAACATCTTTCACGACCCCTGAAATCGGCTTCAAAAGTATTCAGCTTATATCACTACATGAAGTTTTAAATAAGTTAGAACTACAGTATATTCTTATCTTTGTTCAATTACGGAATAAGTCCTTACTTAATCGTTGTTTTTAAGTAAAGGAAGATATTTACCAAGCGCAATGGAAATACACAAGTACAAAATTACATATCGCAGATACAAAAAAGGCTTGAAAGTAAATTAATAAATAGTAACGGTAAATACAACCCAGTATATGCCCTGAGCACCTGCTAAGAAAAAGTCTTATTTTAAGGTATTTGAATCGACCAATGACAGTGAAAAATTAAAAGAGAACGTATAAGTTTCCATTATGAGGTCAGTCCAAACGCTGCACAAATATTTAAGTATTGAGCTAATGAAACAGTTATACATTTAAAAATGTATCTCAATGACCTTATTTCGAAAAGGGAATGCCAAGATAACAGTGACATAATCATTAAATGCATGCACATTTTTCATATTATAAAAAGCATTGAGCAAAATAAGTTCTTCTGATAATCAACTTAAAAACAGAGATATAACGATTCCGATTTTATTAAAGCATTTTACTCATCCATGTTAAAAAGGTGGGTGCACTGGTAAAAGTTAAAATAAGTTATACTTAGCTATGATTGTGTTCAATTTTATTTCAACTGTGAAAGAAGGAATTATGTCTCTTTAAACTTTGCTAAATTGTGGTATTGAATTAAATTTATGTAACAAGCTTTAATAACAAAAAGATTTTAATAACGAAAAGATTTGCTTAAGGAGAATGGCCATCAAAATAAACCAAAAAGCAGTCTAGGTGAAACGCTTAAACAAACTCCACAAAGGTCAAAGGTAAATCATAATGAATACAATATTAAAACCTACATAACTACGCATCTAGCCCGTGAACATTCAGTGTTTGCCTCATTGTCTGGCCTTTAAAGTTTTCATTTTTGAATAATTTAAGATGTTCCGGTTAAAGGCCCTCTACAGTCAGTTCGACTTCCTGTAAAATCTACAGGGAAGAACTCAATATAAGAAGAATTTTCATTGGTCATTTTAAAATTACAAACTGAAATTTGAGAATCCTGTTGGTCATTCTATAATAAAATGAAAATAATTGTTCTTGTCATTCTAAAATAAAAGTAAAAAGATGCTCGGCCGAACTAAAACTGGTTAATTTGCATATCGTTTTTAGGAAACATGGAAATAGAATCATAAGGATTATGATATTGAGTCTATTATTAAATGTTCCGTTAAAATCTTTTCAAATATTAAAATCATATGCATATGTTTGCACAAACGAAGTATTTTAAATAGAAACAAAATGTTGTGTCTGAAGTATATCCCTTAAAAGTTAAGAAAAAATGTACAAACAAAATATTTTTTTCGTACTCCATTTTTTTCGTCTCATGTCTTTTTTATTGTCATGAAATTCTTTTATTTCTATTATTGTGAATGTTGTTTTATCTCAAAGAGAAATATCTAAGTAATTGAAGTTTAATCAAATCGAAATTTCATAAGAAATACATATGCATTTGTGAGTCTATTTCAATGAGATAATAAAAGTCGAAATAATGAAACAACATCAATAAACAAAGTACTAGTATTTAGTTTAATTGTTTGTCCTTTCCAGTTCAATATCTGTGTTATTTGAAAATGATGTTTATATCAACAGCTTTCCTAAATTATGTTTTTCAACATAATTTAAATATTAGCATATTGCTAAATGTATTTCACAACTCGATATTTCGATGTAATTTAACTTGACATACACTCAGAAATGCATGTTTTCGTCAATCTAACTTAAATAAACTTAAATAACGCTTGAAGGTATATCTAATTATTGGCAATAAGCAAATGCTTAAGAGGAGGAGAATAAATATTATATCTGAAAAAAATCACGAAAAAAGAAACACTCTTTGCATCAATTTAAAAAAAAACCTGGAAAAATTTATAAATCTTGTAAAACTAAGCAATTGTAAGGTAAGAAATACAATATATATTGACAAAATACTTAAGCATAATACCACCTTTGATACATGATGAATAAACTGTTTGCAACAAAATATTATCCACTTTATCTTGCGCTTTCATGAATAAATATCTAACCTACCTTTAACCAAATCAATATAAATCAACTAAGCAGCATCGATGAGATACGTTATACAAATGAAATATCACGTTTTATATTGTTTGTACAGGATTGTCTTGCTTTATTTTGTATCATTCAATCAATGATACTGAAGAGGTTTTTGCATAAAGTAATATAATGTTTATAAAGGGTTTACAAATTAGGAGAAAACAGTTGCTTAGAAATACTTTCACTATTAAAGTAAGTGGGTTTTGCTAATTTTATGAAAAAAAATCTGTAAATAAATCAACAACATTAAGAATCATTTGCAAAATATACCAAATGGGTTCGATTATATTCATTTTAATAATAGGAAATGCGGTTGGAGCAACGTTTGGACAAACATACAAGGAAATGGACTCTTTGTTAGGACATCTTTTTGATGAGAAAAGATATAACAAAATGCTTAGACCTCTACTTAACCAGACTGATGTTATAAAGGTTAGTGGATCTGTTTTCCTTTTCATACATGTTAAAGTTTGACAGCCCGAGATGATTTGGTTTACAATTTAAATTGACTTGTCTGAATTGTCTTTGTTTTTGAATTGAAGACAAGAAACATATTTTATGTCGTCTGCAAAATGAAATTTTTTATTCCTTTGTTTCAGGTAAATTTTACACAATTTATAAGTAGCATCGAATATTTTGACATCACAACAGGAGAATTGCTTGTCAACGGGTATTTTGAAATAGAATGGATAGATGAAATGCTTAAATGGGACCCAGATCTGTATGCAGGAAAGAAACGAATAATGTTACCTAAAGGAAAACACTGGAAACCGGATTTTTACCTCACAAATGGACCAGCAAATGAGGAATCCTCAGTTTATGGGAGCGGATTTGCACCGGCATGGGCCACATATCAAGGATCGGTGAGGACTATTCCGGCTGGAAGTTATAAAACAAAATGTAATGTTGACACTTCGTTTTACCCATACGATATGCACACGTGCTACTTTAAATTTATTGTGTCCAACCATGATGATACAGAAATCATGCTTAACTCACCAAGTACGGATATTATCGTTAGTGATTTAAAAGAAAATGGAGAATGGGAAATAAAGGGTACCAATATAAACATTTTGCTACTGAAGGATAACAACATAGAAAATGTGACAATACCAATGTTTCAGTCATCGTTTGCGATAAAAAGAAGACCAACGTTTGAATTAGTAAATGTATTTATGCCTTTCACACTTATGTCTTGTCTAAATATGGCAACATGTTTTGTACGTCCAGACTCTGGTGAAAGATTAACATTTGCGATAACGCTGTATTTGTCATTAGTTGTCACTACAACAGCTGCAACTGAAAGAATTCCTGAAAACTCTTTAAAACTACCTTACGTGTCGTACCAGCTTCTTGTATTAAATTGTATCAACACTGTTGGGGTGTTATGGAGTATATACATCGTAAATTACGCAGGCAAACCAGAAGTGCAACATCTCCCGAATTGTTTGTTAAGAAAAGTGATGAAGCGGAGAAAGACAAAGATATTAAATGATAAAAACATTCCTTCACAAACATCTTCATTTTCACTCATGTCACTTGAACAGGCGAAGAATGGTGATCGTAAGAATACTCAAAGTAAGAATGAACATCTTGAGGAAGAAAATCAACCTATTCCCGCACACGAAGTAGCCGAAGCTCTTGATAGAATTTATTTTTGGGCTATTGTTTCGTGCATTATTGTTGTTGATATTACATTTGTTGGACTTAGCTTACGTTCAAGAGCTGGTACATGTAGGCTTTGAAAACGTCATTAAAGACTAAGAAATCTTTTGTAGAATTTTCTTCAACAAAGATTAATTTGTATTTAATGTGAGTTGCAGAATAAATTATATTTAGACAAGCGCAATTGGACGATTGTGGATATTATTACAATGTTAAGTTCCATGTAATTAAACATATTTTTTTAAATGTTTCTATTGTAAACACAAACCGTTTTTATGAAAATATAAATAACTGAATGCATCACAATTGCACACTCCTACAATTTCATTACAATTTTAATTGCCACATTTTTTTCCGATTTTTTTTGCAGATCATAACATAACGTACTTTTGTGTTTACATTAAATTGATTAGTTTTTACATCTTCTTGTCTTATAATGCATGCCTGTTTAATATCATTCAAAGAGTATGCTTCAGGTAATAATATATATCTTTCACTATGTAAATTCATTCACTTGAAATTAATGAAACATTTCACTTGAAACAATAACAATGTTGCTTCATTTCTGTTCTTTGAAAGCTATAAATGTGAACAAAAACTGCTTTTATATCAATCATTGAATATAGTTAGTCTTGAAAAACCTGAATGTCAATATTTTAATATTTAAAGATCTACGTAAAATGTGCTTTTTTTATGCCACCGCAGCGGTGGCATATAGCGATTCACCTGTGTGTGTGTGTGTGTGTGTGTGCGTGTGTGTGTGTGTGCGTGCGTGCGTGCGTGCGTGCGTGCGTGCGTGCGTGCGTGCGTGCGCGTGCGTGCGTGCGTGCGTGCGTGTGTGTGTGTGTGCGTGTGTGTTTGTGTGTGTGTTATATAGATTATATAGTGAACTTAAAAAATCTTCTTGTGAAAAACCACTGGTCCAATTTCAACCAAACTTGGCAGGATTGATCCTTGGGTGAAGGGCTTCCAAAGTTGTTCAAAGAATGTCATTCCATGCAGAAATCTGGTTGCCATGGCAACCAAAAGGAATTATAAGAATAAATTTAAAAAATCTTCTTGTAAAGACCCAAAAGGCCTAGGGCCTAGATATTTTGCATAAGGCATCGTCTGGTAGACCTCTAACAAGGTTGTTCAAATTATAGCCCTGGGGTCAAAATTGGCCCCGCCCCGGGGGTCATTGATTTTCACCATATGTACATATAGTAAAAACTTAAAATATCTTCTTGTAAAGCCCCAAAAGACCTAGAGCTTAGATATTTTGCATAAGGCATTGTCTGGTAGACCCTTACCAAGATTGTTCAAATTATAGCCCTGTGGTCAAAATTGGCCCGCCCCGGGGGTCATTGATTTTCACCATATGTACATATAGTAAACACTTAAAATACCTTCTTGTAAAGACCCAAAAGGCCTAGATCTTAGATATTTTGCATAAGGCATTGTCTGGTAGACCCTTACCAAGATTGTTCAAATAATAGCCCTGGGGTCAAAATCGGCCCCGCCCCGGGGTCATTGATTTTTACTATATGTACATATAGTAAAAAAAACTTAAAATACCTTCTTGTAAAGACACAAAAGGCCTAGAGCTTAGATATTTTGCACAAGGCATTGTCTGGTAGACCTCTACCCAGATTGTTCAAATTATAGCCCTGGGGTCAAAATCGGCCCCGCCCCGGGGGTCATTGGTATTTCTTATATGTATATAGTAAAAACTTATAGTAAAAACTTTTAAAAAAATTCTTCTAGAAATTGACAAATGCTAGAGGTTAGATATTTTGCATGAAACATTGTGTAGTAAACGTCTAGCAAGATTGTTCAAATTATAGCCCTGGGGTCAAAATTGCCTCCGCCCTGGGGGTCATTGATTTCAATATAAACATATAGTAAAAAATAAAAAAATCTTATAGTCTGAAGGTACATGGCTTAGAGCTTTTATATTTGGCATATAATATCATCTATAGATCCTCTACTAAAGTTGCTTTAATTATGTCCCTAGTGTTAAAATTGCCCTGCCCAAAAGGCAATAGTTTTCCTTATATGTATAAAGTAAAAACTTAAAAAATCTCTGAATTGACAAAGGCTTAAGGTTAAATTTATGGCATGAGTTTTTGCCAAGTGAACCTCTACCAAGATTGTTCAAATTATAGCCCTTGGGTCAAAATTGGTTCCGCCCCAGGGGTCATTGGCTTTCATTATGTACATATAGTGAAAAAATAAAAAAATATTTTTGTCTGAAGGTACAAGGCATAGAGCTTTGATGTTTGATATATAATATCATTTATAGGTCCTCTACCAAAGTTGTTCAAATTTTTCCGCTTGTGTTAAAATTGGCCCTGCCCGGGGGCAGTGATTCTCATTATGTACACATAGTAAAACCAGAAAATAAAACAAATGTTTTCTGAATGGGAGAAAGCTACAGCTTAGATATTTGACTTGAAATGTTGTTTGGTTAACCTGTATCAAGATTGTTTTGAATTAAACCCTTGGGTCAAAATTTTGCCTTGCCAAAGGGGACAGTTACCTACTTTATTGTCCTTTGATGTACATCAATGACATTTTGACCATGTGCAGTTTTAATTTTGATATCAGGTGACCTAGATTTTGACGATGTGACCTACTTTCTTGTCCTTTGATGTACAGCTATGAAATATGAACCAAGCGGTGGCATAGCATTTTTCTCAAATGCAATCTTGTTTATTGCTGTTGTTGTTGTTGTCGTTGTTGCCTTAAAGAATTAAAAAAAGTAGAGTGATATTGACTTTATTCTCGTTGATAAATTCACCATTGATATTAATAAAATGCGTTAATATTTTATTATAATTATTGATGTGTTTCAACTTGCAGACTACAGCTATAGCTGTCAATAATTACAATTCTGTTTTGTTTTCTTTTGTTGTTTTTTTTTTCGATTCAATTATAAGATTCACTTTAATTCCGCAAACTTTATTTTTAAAAGTTATTATATACCATTGACCTTTCGCATTAACTTTTCTTGTGTTTCTCGACTTAGTTAATATATCATATGACATATTTAAAAAAGATAAATTTTACTCAAAACATGACGAAATTTAAAAGAAAAGCAAAAAAGAATTAATACGAGAATAACAATAACACTTTTCAGTACAAAGATGTTTGATGAAAACTATTTAATTCCAGATCGTGTTCAATTCAAGCATAGTTTTGTAGTGCGTGTTCAAAATTAAATTGATCCCAGGAATTTAATAAACATTACGGAAAATTATGCTGTGTCTCAAAAAACACTAAAAGTAATAATTTTATAGCATACACATTCATAATGTCTACTTCACTTAAACATGTACATGTATAATTATTGATTGAAACAGATGCTGAGGACATGTCTATATTATCAACGACTATATATTCCATTCGTTCTCCAATAGTACTTTTATAGATTGTTTTTTTTTTATTGCTGGAAAATATATTTGAGGCAATCAATTAAAAAAAATATTACTTCTAGCACATGTGTTAATTTTATTCAAATATGTATGATTGTTCAATTGATAGAAATTATTGGTTCACTTAACTTTAATTTATTTTCAAATTCGATTTTTCTTTTTCTACAATGAATACTGAAGTACATATTTTCTAAGGTAATATCTTAAGAACATACATATAGTTCTCCGCGTTACATCGTATAGCGGAGAAATATTGTCTCAACATAGCGTGACCAAAACCGGTTTTGTCTGTTATTATAGGTCTATAAATAACTAGTTATGTGATATATTGGTCACTTCTACGAGGTTTCTCTTACGGGTAACATCTTACATTCTAAAATGAGTGACACCGACATGAATTCGGGCGGGGAAGATAGCCAGAAATTGGAAAGAATGGTGGATAGTAAAATTCGACACTCCCTGGAGACGCATAAGAACGACATGCTCAAGGAGATTGGCTCATTATTCGAAAAGATAAGTGAAAATACTAATAATTCACAGTTAAGCAAAATTAGTAATATCATAGCATGTGACATTCCAAAATTCAAAAGAAAAAGCAATGAAGAGCAATATAAGCACAACGTTAAAGTAAACATGAAATTAAATGAAGCCGAGCAGTTAGTTAGCACAGACCCCGTTCAGTGTAAAGCCAAAATCGTTGAAGGTATTTATTTCTAATTTCGCTGTACAACAGTTAATTGATATCTTATTTTCGTTTATTAGGATATTTTTGATTATTTTTAATGATATCAGAAACACCTGAAACATAAACATTTATGATAACGGTGATAATCATATATAAAAGTACTGCCGTTATATAAACATGTCGATCACTATGTTAAAAATACACACTTTTCGTTATTTCGCTTATGTAACGGATACTAGTATTCATTGTTTTATATGAACAATATATGTTATCCTTACAATTTTAAAGCACATATATTTTTATTGAACTGAGTGATATTTTTATTGTTGCTATTCAGCATACTTGTACATATATAATTGATATATCTCATATCTCGTGCTGTTATGCGTTTCAGCTAAAGAGATAATTGGACACAGACAGAAGCTAATTCAGCTTGCGGATTCGAGCGAATTAGGCTGGCGTGTGGTGCACGAGTATGAGACAAATCCACTCGCAGATGATTCCGAGGACGAACGACGCATGTATAAAGCCGAAGCACGTGCTAACCGGAAGTTAAAAGCCGAGCGAGCAAAGAAGTCAAAGTCGGGACGTCCTGCGCCCTACAGACGACCGGTGGCTTCTACGTCCACATCAACAACGGATCATGTAACGCCTAAAACAGGTCGACCAGGTCTTTGTTTCCAGTGTGGAAAAATTGGTCACTGGAAGAAAGAGTGCCCGGGAATAAGCACCAATATTAAGATGAGTATTAATGAAAATTTAATGTTAAATGATATCACTGTACTGAATGCATCGAAGTCTGTTGACACTGCACGTGATGCTGGAGCACGTGCAGTTCAATATACTCAAGGTAATTGTAAACCAAGCAACACTTCTAGTCTAGTGTTGTCACCAGTAGGAAGGTTAAGACAAAGCTTTGAGAAGTGGCGGTCAGTCGCAGGTGAGTCTTATATTGTAGAAGTCATAAAGTCAGGATATAGACTTCCATTTAAGAGTTTGCCTTCTAAATCTGTTTTGAAAAACAACAAATCTGCGAGAGACAATCCGATATTTGTTATGTCGGAAATTGAGAGTCTTTTAAAGAAAGGCGTAATATCTGAGGTTCAAAACACTCCTTTTGTTGTAAATCCATTGACAGTTGCATACAATCGGGTAGGGAAACCCAGACTTGTGCTAGATTGTAGACATATTAATCCACATTTACATTTGTTCAAAGTCAAATTTGAAGACATTTTTGTAGCACAAAGTGTTTTTCAGCCTGGATCCTATGTGTTTACTTTTGATCTTAAGAGTGCGTATCACCATATTAATATTTTTCCTGATCATAGAACCTATTTAGGGTTTTCTTGGGTGAAAAATGATATTGTTACTTATTATGTGTATAATTCTCTGCCGTTTGGTATAGCCACTGCGGGTCATATTTTTACTAAAGTACTTAGGGTAGTAGTCTCGTATATTAGAGAGCAGGGTCATAAGGTCATCATGTTTTTAGATGACGGAATTGGCGGGAATCATGTTTTAGCAGAAGCTTTAAAATCTAGTCATTTCATTAAATCATCACTGCAGGATTTCGGTTTCCTTTTGGCGGAAGAAAAATGTTCATGGCAACCTTTACAAAGTGTAACCTGGTTAGGTCACGTTTTAGATTTTAATAGCAATCGTATTTTTATTACGGAAGGTAGGATTTCTAGGCTTTTAAATGCAATAGAATCTGCGCTTAAAGCTATTTATCTTGACAAATTCAGTTTATTACCAGTTAGGAATTTGGCATCCATTGTTGGTCAGATTATTTCCTTACATTCTGTATTAGAGCATAAAGTTAGGATTAAAACCAGAGAAATGTACAATTGCATTCTGGTTAGGGCTAGTTGGAATTCTCCTGTAATTGTAACAGACAGGGCAATAGAAGAATTATTATTTTGGAAAAATAACGTAGTACAGTTAAATACTAACGGTAAGTCAATAAAAAGGGCATCCCCTTGCGAGTATACACTGTTCTGCGATGCAAGTGGTGAGGGTTATGGGGGTATGTACTGAAAAATAAATCAGTTTGTTATCCCGAGAGGCAGGGACATAGCGAATATTACATTGCCACCGGATGTTGGTATTCCAACGGTACAGGAGCCGTTTTTTGATATGCTCCCGGAAGTGAGCTCCTCGTTTGACGAGGTTTTCATTGGTAAGAAACGAAAAGCGCTCCCGGATGTGAGCAGTAAATTTGCGGAGCGATCTCCGGAAGTAGATAGCTTGACAGATTTTTCATATGTAGATTATAGATATATGTCGAATCCTAGTGATTTTTGTTGCGAGGGCAATTCTAATCATGGTTACAAATTTCAAGACGTTAGCCACGTCATCGGTACATGGGATCCCGAGGAAGTCGGGCGTAGTTCTACTTGGAGAGAGATTGAGGCAGTAAACAGGGTCATTAAGAGTCATGCTTATATATTGAAAAACACTTCTGTAAAAATTTATTCTGACAACAAAAACGTTAAATCTATTTTATTGAACGGAAGTAGAAACTTTTCTCTGCATTGTATTTCAACTTGCATAAATGATTTTTGTGTGAAAAATAGTATCAAGATTTGTCCTGAATGGATTCCACGTTCCGAAAATTATTTGGCTGATTATTTAAGTCGGTGCAAAGATAGCGACGATTGGTCTATATCAGATACTCAATTTAAACGTTTAGACATTTTATGGGGTACTCATACAGTAGATAGATTTTCTTCTTCTTACAATAATCATTGTGAAAGATTTAATTCCAAATGGTGGGTCCCTAGAACTGAGGCTGTAAACGCTTTTGATCAGTTTTGGGCCGGTGAAAATAACTGGATCGTTCCACCGCCTAGGTTAGTGCCGGATTGCTTAAATAAAATAGAAAACGAAAAAGCAACATGTACTTTAGTAGTACCAATGTGGCAGTCTGCAGCATATTGGCCAAAGCTTTTTGAAAGCAAGTTAAAACTTAAAAGCTTCATAGTAGATGTTAAAATTTTGCCGAGGCAGGGAACCATATGTATAGGCAGGGGAAATAATGGTATTTTCGATAGGGATCCGTTGTCTTTCAACATGATAGCTTTTAGGATTTGTTTTCGTACTTAAATAAGAAAGCATGCTTTTTTGTACATATAATATATGAATATTTCTGTTTAATAGGTGTTGACTTAAAAATCAGCATGGAGAGCAAGTTGGCAGAGGCAGGAATCAATAATCAAGGAAATCTGGCGGAACACATGGCTACATATATTTTACATTCAAGGGCAGATAATACAGTTAAAAAATACAATGGTTATTTCAAGCTCTTTAGAGCATTTTGTGAATCTAAAAGTTTATCAGCAAGACCAGCTAATTACATGACAGTGGCATTATTTCTAACTTCTCTTCTAGACGAAAATAAATCAAACAGCGTCGTGAGTTCATCTGTGTACGCCATTAAGTGGATGCATTCTATTCATGACTTGCCGGATCCTACGGACAATTCTGTAGTAAGGAATTTATTAGAAGCCTCTAAAAGACTTAGATCAAAACCGGTTGTAAAGAAAGACATTGTAGATTCCAATATGTTAAAATCTTTGTGTGCCTTGTTTGAAAACAATATGACACTTGTGAATTTACGAGACTTGTCTATGATTCTAATTTGTTATGCAGGTTTTTTAAGATTTAATGAATTAAGTTCTCTTTGCTGTAATGATGTCATTTTTAATGAAAATCATATTGTTATAAAAATAAGGGTTAGCAAAACTGATATTTACAGAAAGGGAAACGAAGTTCTAATAGCTAAGGGTGATACTATTGCCTGTCCATACAAGATGTTACAAAAGTATATGTCTAAGGCAGATTTGACTGTTGAATCAGAAAAATATCTATTCAGACCATTGTTGAAAACAAGAGGTAAATACTCATTGGTTAAAGTAAACAAACAGCTGAGCTATACTAGAGCCAAAGAGTGTATTGTTGCTAAACTTAGATTAGTAGCTCCGGGATTGAAACTCGGTACACATTCTCTTAGAGCCAGCGGTGCTTCCGCTGCAGTTAATTTTGGCAAGGTATCTGAGCGTTGCATTAAGAGACATGGTCGCTGGAAGTCAGACCAAGCAAAAGATGGTTATGTTCAAGATTCACTTGAAGAAAGGCTTTTTATTTCAAAGCATTTAGGGTTATGAGGTGTTTGCATCTTTGTTTAAAAAAAAAAAAAAAAAAGAGCTCAGTTTTTCAAATGATACATCTTGCAATTCCTTAATGAATAATGAACAGCCATATTTCGATATTATTAGCAAATTGAATTAGAATGTTTCTTTTCTATGCTTTGTATTTTTTCTATAAATGCGCCTCGTCAACGCAAAACTGTTTGTTTGTTTTGGTTTTGGTTTAAGGTGGTGTTTGAGACATATAGTTCTCCGCGTTACATCGTATAGCGGAGAAATATTGTCTCAACATAGCGTGACCAAAACCGGTTTTGTCTGTTATTATAGGTCTATAAATAACTAGTTATGTGATATATTGGTCACTTCTACGAGGTTTCTCTTACGGGTAACATCTTACATTCTAATTCAATTATATATTTTGTGAAAGTTTATATTTCTGAGTTTTTTCTTTGAAAAAATAGAGAGAGCACGTCTGGACAGAATTCCGTTAAGTCCAATATTTCGAGGAATAGTCTGAGAAATGTGCCGATCACCGGTATATTTCGTGCATGCTACAGATACACGTTTCCTTTCGCCAAAAAAAAAAAAAAAAAACGGCGACGGGGTTTTTCGTGGGCGGCCAGTATTCCGATGACAAATATACAGTCAATGATATTTTGTTAATTCTGTTAGAATGTTTACAAGCTACAATGATAATATAATAACTATTGATTGTGACGTGTATTCCAAAAAGTAATAGCTGATACATGTAAATCTTTATGACATTACTCTTTTACTCTTGTATGGGACATGTTTTCCCACAGTTAATTCAAGTTTATATATACATGTATAGTTCACAAGTAGCAGATAACATAATATTTTATCATTACGAATGAATTTAGTTTTATTGCAATATCAATGCATTTTGTTAAACAAAAATAAAATTAAAAGATTTTGTATTACTGCATAAACTGCTCCCATGTTACCTAAATAAATGCGCTTCGTCAACGCAAAACTGTTTGTTTGTTTTGGTTTTGGTTTAAGGTGGTGTTTGAGACACATACTTATTTAGTCTTAAATAGATATAAACTTTACTTAAACATCATTGACTGCTGATACAGAATGTTAACATTGTCAATCATAATGACCATATGCCATGTATTTTGTAAATGTATACTGTACAACGATGTACCATTTGTTGCATACTAGTTGGAAATAAAAAATTTCTTCTTCTTATATTCTTTGCTGATATTGCGGTTGAAGAATCCTAGCTAGTAACTTAATCATTTTTTTTTAATTTCACACGTAAAACTATCTTATTCCGTCAGTAATGATGAACTCTATGCCGTATGGGTATGTACGGTTAATTACACTTATCAAAGTCGTCCAACAACAGGATCAATCAAAGTGAGGAGTCTGCAATATTAAAATTGGCCGTGTCAGGTTTCGGTGTGCCAACTTAAAAGTTCATTTAAGTTTGTCGTTATTTTGATTTTACTGTTAATCTTTAGCGAAAATATATATTTTTTACGGCAATTGTATCACATATTGGTTATATATATCTTTGCTGGACTAGTTTTCAAATTATCCGCAAATGGTCGACTACTGTGACATCCGTGTGTTTGGTTTCAGACGATCTATTTGTAGCATCACAAAGTATACAATTAATTAAACATTGAACTTCATTAATTACATTATCGTATATACTTTGAAAACTGTTTGATGATAGACTGACTACTGATCTTCCTTGTAAAAAAAACAACAAAATCAAATAATATGGCTATAACCTGCCACTAAAATACCTATAAGTGTTGTGATTTGTCATTACATCTGTAAGTTTGAAGTCTTAGAATAATTAGAAGTTAATCTTATGTAGTAAATTGACATTTATATCCGAAGTCTGACTGTTTAAAGCCCAAAAGAACATAGATAATGGATTCTGCTCATGTAATTAATGTTCATGAGGAACAAGTTTTGATTTACTCTACATTGATTTTTTTATTTCTTATTTATTTCTTCCTGTTTGTTGACATTGCTTGTTTACACATTCTAGACTTAAAAGAAAAACTTTGTTTTAGAAATAAGACATTTAAGAATTTTATCATAATAAAATTGTGCAAGTATACTAAGAGCACATTTATAAATAAAGAACGTGTAAATAAAGTAAAGTGATACATTTACTCACATAAGGAAAGGGATCGAAGTTGGCCTTGTTAATAGCTTTTAGTGTGTGTCTAGTATTATTTAGATGGTTTCGACGAAACTGTTGTCTTTACAAGGTACGGAAGATTTATACACATCTTTATGAAACATTCATTGTCTATTAAAGAAAGAAATAGACTATCATGGAAGCCGGGAACTGCTTAGACAAACTCTAAAGAGAATGGGTTTCCAGTGGAAAAGACTACCGCCAACTGGGGGGATTCTTTATGAAATGCCGGCCGCACTTCACAGTGTCTTCAATTTTCCAAGCGGACAAGAAAAGATATCGGGAAGAATCCTCATATTTCTTAAATTAATACAAATTTATTTTCAGGCGAAGGTATACTTAATTTTACGTTTGATTGTTTGAAATAATAAACTCATATGCATATATTTGGCATATTAGAAGTATTTAAATCCTTTAAAAGTAAAGAAGAAGTAAATAAAAACTAGAATCTACAAACAGAACAATTAACTTCGAACTCAATTTTTTCGTCTCAGTTCGTTTTAACCGTCATGTAATTCTTTATTAAAAATACTGTGAATGTCGTTTTAGCTCAAAGAAAACATTTAAATAATTGGAGTTTATTCAAATCGAAATTTAAATAGAAAGTTTATATTGACAACGTTTTGTTGATACGAAATACCCGAATCACAAGATTTGTAACACGTTTGGAAATAAGGAAAAAGGTCGAAACGTTTCGATTGGTAAACAAGATCATGGACGTAATGGTAAGTGGTGGTTTGGTTAATGTTTGATAAAATTTATAACTCACTAAAGCAGCGTAAAATAATCTGTAGCAGGACTCATGGTAATATAGAACTTCAAATGTGTTGGAGAAGGAATGGTTAAACAGTATTCAACTTGATGATAAAAGAACTCATGAATGTAGATAGTTCGTTCCATAATTTCTTTAGATCAATTAAACATTTGACGTGTATATTATGTCAGAAAAATCCTTAAAGTTTTTTACTAATCTTATAATGGCCAATCAGATCCCGAGATTTCTGATGGTAAATTTAAAATGACCAATTAAATTTTTACATATATTCAGTTCTTCCCTTTACAGGAAGTTAAATCAATAACAACAGACGGCCTCCGGCCGAATAAAACAAATTGCTTAATCCGTATATTAAGTGATCATAATGCCTTAAATTATAAAAATGTATGTGAAAAAAGTAATTAATCGTACTTCATCGCCGGTTAGTACCTGCACAGACGCTAGTTTACCCCTAGGCAACAGAGCCGTATAGTTTACAATATGTGTTGAAAAATACTACAACCAATAAAAACAAGTGTTTTACTCGCGGAAACTAACGAAGATGGTCACGAAGATATATGATTCTCAGGTCAATATACCATTCACTTCAGTGTAACATACATCTCCGTGTAGTCAAAAGGTTAATGGGAATTTGTATCATGAATGGCCCACGTTTAAATAAATAGAACATTTTAGATTTATTCCTTGCTTTTTATAGAATTTTACAGAGCAAGTTGTTGATCGTACTATTTTAAGGTCAAAGGGAGGTAACTGATACAGGCAGTAACTTAGTTGTATAATATATAAATATCGGAAGCTTAAAACAGCAATATATCGTGGAAATTGTAGACTCGGTTTGATCAAACACATGGCTATAAATTGTCTCAATGCACCAACATAGTAATAATAATGATTCATTTTGTCTGATTTATCGGATTATCCGACGAATAACTTGACATGATAAGTAGTCTCATCTTTTGTAAAGCAAGAAAAGGCTAAGGCACTTGGTGAAGAGATTGCTTTCAAACTGATTAAGGCATTTTTATACGAAAAGTATGAAGGTTAGTTAGTTAGTTTTACCATATACATAAGTGTAATTGGTCACAATTATTATAGTTACACGCATGTCCTTTCTGTCACTTTATATTTATTTCTTGTTTTGTACTTTGATCTGACCATGTTCTTACATGGACTTGTAAGGAATAAATGGATTATATAGAACGTGTTTGTGTTGTTGTTTTTTGTTGTTGTTTTTGTTTGGGTTTTTTTTTGTTGTTGTTTTTTTTTTTGGGGGGGGGGTAGGAGTGGGCGGTTGGCATTTTCCAAAGACACATTTCTATGTATAGGTTACTCATTAGATTTAGCGGGCTTTGCAGTTTATCCTGTTAAAATAATGAGACGTTAAAGATGTTATGAAAGAAACAATTACCTGGGTCGTCTTTTGCATTGGTCTTTCGCCCCATCAAGATCATTAAAAGTCACATCGTACAAGTATCACTTAATGGGTGTTTACGAATGTATCAGTGAAGGTCATGTTACACTTCGTCACTTAAGTGCAGTGATGGGTTAACTTCCTACGAAATAAAATAAGAGTTTAACCGTTTATACACGAATATAACGACTCACGTTTTACATCAGAGAAAACGTATGTGCGATTTTGTAAATAAACTGGATTTTATGCACCTTTTTGACTGAATTAGCGTCTCCTGCAATTGGTCGAATGCCTCAAGATCAAATATGTGTTTTTCAAACTAAAGTAAGAGCTAGAAATGTGTCGTCACGCCACAGATACCCCCGCATGTATCCAAATTTCAAATGTTATATAATAGTATTTAATTCAAAATTTGTTTGCACAAACTATTATTTTCATTCTTCGTTCAAAGCCCTTTAACTATTTAATGTTAACACAAACCATTTTTTAACAAGCATCAAGGCCCTGGAACTATTCAGTGTTAACCTTCACCAAATTGCATATTTGTAGCCGAGATAATAACTACATATTTTACCACAAAAGTATGAAGGGTGAAACTGAAAATTTATAAAAAAAATTTCCAACGCTCAAGAGAGATAACTTTGTCCAAAATCACCGAACCATGACCAAATGCAAAGTCCTAAGATGTAACTATACATGTGTGTCAAACTCCAGTTAAATGTGTAGATAATCAACGGAAACAAGAAGAAAATCTATATAAGTTCGAGAGGGATAACTCTAAAAATCACAATATTTATCAAGCCATGATTAAATTCGAACTTAACCAGCGTATTCTTATGACATATATTTGTAAAACTTGAGCTGAATATGTACAAATGTTGGGGAGATAATGAACGAAAACTGATTCCCTCTTTTTCCACTGTTAAGGGGCAGAAAACGGTCAAAAATCATCGAATCACAACCAAGTTCAAACTTGATCTGCACATTCCTATGGCATATCCATATTTTAATTTGAGTTGAATGTGTACAACCGTATGGGAAATAATAAATGGAAACTGAAAATGTCTTATTTTTCCAAAGTTAAGGGGCAAAATTTTGTCAAAAATCATCGAAACATGACCAAATTCCAACTTGACCTGTGCATGTTTCTTTGACGTATTCATTTTTTTTTAATTTGTGTTGAATGTGTACAACCTTTAGGAAGATTATGAACGGAAACTTAAAATTTCATAATGAGGCATAACTCCATGACCATGACCAAATTCTAACTTGGCCTGCATTTTCCTATGATATATCTATATCTTAATTTTGGAGTAAAATCTGAGCAACCGTTAGCAAGAAAATGAACAGAAACTGATGATGACGGACTTGTTGAATGACGGAGCAGGGTAACACTAAATGCCCCGACCATATAATGGCTGTTAAAAATGTGAACGTAAAACTTGATGATTAAATTATCAATATTCTTTTTCATTTTAAAAAAAAAATAATGTATTTCAGACAAATAACTTATCTTGAGCTTTGAATTTCTTTTTTCATTTTTCTTAAATAAAAAATGTAAACAAGTAATGAAATAATTCTTAAATCTGTATATTAAATCAATATAAGTGTTTTTACCTTAATCAATACCACGTGGATCAAAACCTTACAAATATCTATAACCATCGACAAATCATGCAAATGATTCGCTTTCATGGCTAAAAATTAATGTTTTTATTTCAATTTAATCAACAAGATTTACGTTAACATTTTATATATTACCACTTCAAACCAACAAGTCGAAACTACCATGTCAGATTTTATTTGGCACTTGAAACAATGGATTTTAAATAATAAAACGTTTAAATGGAAAACGTATTCAAAAAATATTATTGGATTTCAGAATTTTTATTACGTGCAGAAGGATGATAGGAGAAAATAGGAGAAAATTAACATGAAAAGTGATCAAAAAGTTTCTTCATGACATATCGGATATAAATACAGTCATGGGGGTTAATATTGATACAATTCTTTTTTATAGTCATTTGTACTTTACCTCTGCTCTCCTCTGGCATATACAAAAGTTATTTGCCAAAGTGAAGGGAACTACCATTAGTTAACTGACTGACAACCTGCTCAGGATTGATATGGTGGCTGAACTGTTCTCCGGTGCATTCAAAGTTGCTTAATCGGTGCAACATTTCTTAATTTATTTTTGCCGTTTTGGTTTTGTGTATAGGGATTTTATTTCTCTCTAAATTATTTCCGTGACTCGGCGTATATACAACCACCATCACCACTACCTGTTTTACCATGCTTTTACGAATGTGCCCATTTAAGTACAACAATTGCACCAAAAGAAAAAATAAGTACAAATATAGAAATAAACACTAGCCAAAAGTAAACCATGTCAACAACTTCAGCTACTTCCTGTCCATTGATATCATTTACAATAACAGTTTTCAATGCATTCATTTCTTTTTCACACAACTCGGCGTTTGCTTGAACTTCGTCGTTTTTTGGTGTCGCAATTATAGCTTCAGTTTCCAAGTCTGGGTCAATATGTGTCAGGTATGTGTTTCTTTTTCTTCTTTTCATAACCATTCGCAGTATGAAATTTGGGATTTTCTTTTTATCAATCTTTTTTACGTTTGTTAAGTGAACTATAAATATACTCCATGCCACGCCAATCGTATTTATCAGATTGATTATCAGAATTTCGTATGACATGTAAGGTAATCTTAATGAGTTATTTGGAATTGAGTCAATCGCTGCAGTTGTTGCGAAAACTAGGGATAAATATAATGTTACTGCAAACGATAATCTTTCTCCGGAGTCTGGCCTGACATAGCACGTTGCTATATTAAGACTTGACATAAGTGTTATAGGAGCATATATGTTATTGATAATGAATGTCGGTCTCCTCTTTAGAGAAAAAGATACATCGACCATAGGGACAGTAATATGTTTAAATCTTTCTTCTTGAACGTAACCTACCGCAGCATTTGTATTTTCAATATACCATTCACCATTTTCCCTAAGTTTTTTAGTATTCATATTTCCTGTTGGTATATGAATCATCAATTCTTCAATCCGATAATCTGACACAATAAATTGAAGGTGGCAGTGGTGAATATCAAATGGATACAGCGTAGTGTCAACTATACATCTTGTCTGGTACGTCCCAATGTGAATCAATGTAACGTTTCCGTTGTTAGTTACCCAAGCAGAAAATGCACCGCTGCTGTAAACTGAAGACTCTACGTTCACCGGCTGTTTCGTTAGTACGATCTCAGGCTTCCAGAACTTCCCTGTAGGTATTTGGAGAATTCTTTTTCCGCCATATTGAGACGGATCCCATGTTAGATATTCATCTTTCCAACTGATTTCGAAGTATCCTGTTATAAGCAACTCCCCTGTCGAGATGTCAAAATGTTCGACACTGAGTAGATACTTTGTAAAACCAATCTGAAATTCCAGGAAAAAATAAACAAAAGGTTATGCGATCCTTTTTCTTGTATAGTATTTGTCAATGTACCGTTTAAAGAATAAAACGCGCTGTTTTTGACGCTTTTAAACTAACTGTCCTTATAACTTATCAAAGATGGACAGTCAAAAAGAAATAAAAAAATAAACGACAAATTACCTGATAAAAAGATTGTTTGTTATTTTTCTAATTTATGAAAAGAAGTAATTGATTTACGTCCTACTGACTGGCTGGAACTTTTCATTTCGATGTAAGAATATGAATTGATTAATTAGTATGAAATATTGAAATTTGTTCGAAAACCTTTTTCTCCAGGATTATCACTATAACATTCAAAATCATCATTATTTATCACGTAAACATTTATTCATATTGTTTTTTATATTTGATTACGCTTGACTTTTGAATGACAAAGTATTACACTTATTGTATTACATGGCCATATTAAGACATACTGGCATCTTCTAAGGAATAAATCGGTATAATTGACAGCACAGGAAACGATTGTTATATGTCAGTCGGTGATTACAACCAAGTTGTTGACCAAGATAAATCTAGTTCAACAGATAAAATATCTAACATGAAGATCAATTTTAATGGAAAGGGATCCCAAATATTGTCATTTTGGACCAGCCATGAGGTAGTAATCCAAGGTTCGGTGACCGCATGGGTTCAATGCCGCCAGGGACTAGTTTTTTTCTTTCTTGAGCAAGGGCCTTTACACTCATTACATGCATTTTCTTTGTTCTAGAAGGTATTTGGTGTCCCATTATAGAGTATAAAGCTCTATCTTATTGTCTATTTATAAAATCAAAGAACAGTAATATTATGTTGTTTTCATAATCTTATGGTCGATTCCCCAAAATGTTGAAACATAAAATGTTTATGTTATTTGACACACAATAATATTGTAATTAAACAGAATGAAATTGTCCGGAGCAAAATATTTCAAGTACGACTATTTTTTTAATTTAACGACGATATTGTGCATGTGCCTTTCGCTAGTTCATTTTGTCGTTTCATATAGGTATTTTGAAATTTGCTTTAATCAAACAAAAATTGTGTATACTATAGGCAGCAAAGATATAGGTTGAAACATCGCAGCGGAAGTATGCAAAAATAATGAAAATTTATTCAAAAAGATATTGATTTTCGAATTGTTCAGCGATTCTTAAACCAATTTCTTTTTAGGTTTTATCATTATTTTTGAAAAATATAAACGGAAAGTGCAATTAAACATAGTCTGAAATTTTACACATATTTAATTGATACAGACCTACATCAAATGTACACAACTATTTGGAAAAATAAATTATCTCCTGTTTATCAATGTCAAAGAAAAACCTCAAAGAATTGAGTCCTTGGTGCATATAGTTTTCTGCCCAATTAAACTAACAAAATATTTATAAATTCTGTATCAATTAAAATTCGGTTTACAATTGAAACATAGTGTTCTATTAAAATGATAAGTTACAAGTTAAATTCTTTGCGGGCAAGCAAACATATGCTAACAAATTAAAGACGAAGTGTTAAATGTTTCATTTAAAATTAGTTTTAGTGTCTTTTGCCAGAAGAATCAAAATGGGGATCAACATGTATATACCCTCGTTTAGAAATAGATAGGGAAAATCTAGAAATACACGACGTAATAGCTAGGAGTGGGCAGACATATAATTCAAATTTGAACAAAAAGTCAAAACATATTTATTGAATGTGCGGCATACATTTTTATTTCAAATATTTTTTTACAATCTGTAACATTTAACATATTGTTTGTTTTAGACGGTCTGGTGATGTCCAAAATTTACATTATCATATATGGACGAGGGACTAATAAAATTGTATATATCTACCTAAATTCAGACGAAATTGAATATTATAACGAAAACGTCAATAAAACTGTTTGCAAAAAATGTTCATTATTTATGGTAATTAAAATGTATTTGACCAAGTCAAACATGATTTGAATTAAAAATGATATGGTTTTAGCGTATGTGTGTAACAAATTTCAAATACATCTTTTATGAAGTTTTATCCGAATTAAGAAAGTATACAATGCATATACATACATCTCTTCATTTAGCATGATGATCTGATTTATGACTCTTCAAAATAGAGCTTTTTTAAATTTTGATAATTCATCCTAAAATAAACTGTATGCATAATAAATTTATTGACTAAAACAAAGGAATGCTAGATGAAAAACTATTTACGATAAATGACTTATTTAATTAAAAAATATATTAAAATGAAGAAAACTAAAAAAAATTAACAATTAGTCTATCAATTAACGGCATTTTTTTCAAACCAATGAGGAAAATTCTAGCAAAAACAAACCATTATTTAATCGGATAGAAAAACATGGACATCACCCAAAAATAGAAGACAAAACACCAAAACCAAGTGTTCAGGCTCGGTTTGGTTGAGCTTGTACATGTACAAACAATCATACACTCAATATAGCATTTCGGAAATTTATCAAGACTTTGAATGATCGAAACTTCCATTGCAATTTAATGGAAACTTTATAATATTAAAGTATGTTCTTACTAACGTTGTAATTTTGATCGAAATATCACTCGATTTGAATAACAAGAACAAAACTTAAAAATTAAAATTGCAGGACGAAAGGTAAGGCAATATATAATAAGAACACATATAGATACTGAAATAGTACACAGTTGCAGAGTCGCATAATAATATTGAAATATTTTATTCATTTATTTATAAATACAAGTAATTCACAAAGATATATGTATTACTTTATGATATTTTTATTGATTTTAGAAAAAAAACCTACCTTAATAACGTCAGCCTGGTTATGTAATGGCCTAACAAGTTTGTTGTATCTTGTATCATCGAACAAATACCTAAGTAGATCATTCATTTCAGTATACGTCTCTCCCTTTGTCATAGTTGCAAATACAATTAGCATGTATATCAGCCAAAGTCTTTTCATTGCAAAAACTTATGAGCAAAAATTAACCTTTTCTCACTGCAACTATTTTAGAAAATGAGAAATAAGTTTTGTCGTACAACACTAGAAAGATTCAATGCGTGTTCCGATTTCTATGTTTAGTTGAACTGAACGACAGCCTAGAGCGAATCTTTTTCTCAATATATCGTAAATTACTCGTTTATATTGATGTTTACAAGGCAACAGTTATTGATGATTCTTTCTGTTTTCTGTTAAAAGAAAAAAATACATTATAGACCCTTTTATTGTTGATAGAAGAATTTTGTAATCGGTTAATGATCACGCAATATGATTGCATGACATTTCAAAAGAATAACAAATTTTCTAATTGTTTAGACTGCTTTTTATATAAATGATAATAATATTTAAATTATATTTGATTGGATGACGGGATTGACATTTGCTTTTTCGTAATTAATCACACGTACTGTTGTTTCTTAACTTAGATCATTACTTAAGCTACATGTTTTTTCTTTAAAATTGTACTTAATTAGTTTTTAGATTAAATGTTTATGGCACGTGGCGTAGATATAATTGCCTGTTTAATACTCTAACGACATTGTTACTTCACATTTTCACTTTTTTTGTAAAATAAAAAAAAACCTTCTCATCGGAATTTCTTTGTTTTTGAAATGTGACCATCCTAATGCATTACCTCGCTTTGAAGAGTAATCAAATAGGCTAGAACTACAATTAAATACATTCAAACTTAGGACCATGGGTTCAAGCCCGAGAAGGGTCAACCTTTTTTCTTACTTCTATTATTATCTTTAAACATTATTTATCTTTCATATTCATTTTGGGAAGAAAAAGTGTTTGATTTTAATTCTTAAATCAATACATGTATAGCTATTTATTTGCTAAATGATTCTAAATCAAATAACAAATATAGTACCAGATGTTTTCAAAGTGCAATAAGATCAAAACTATCGCGGTATAAATACAAGATCAACTAAAATACTTTGAAGAAAACAAAGGGAAACTTAAAAAACAGGCACTCATTTTAATAAATGTTAGGGATTTTAAATTGGGCTCTCAATGTAGGAAATTGATCAAACAAGTGTTAAAATGTGTAGAGTAGGGTAACATTTTCATACATATTTCATAAATTTTGAGAAGAAACAATTATTGTGCTTAATGTGGATTGTAAGCTGAATGTCATTTTTTGTTTCTTACCAGAATGGAAACATTTTTCATAAGAATGATATTGTAGATTATCTAAAGGTTTCTTTTTTCTGAAAAAGGTACCTTCTAACATCCATGATTAGATTCATAAAATTGCTGGGGCATAAAGTGTTACCCTGTTCCGTCCTTCAGTCATTCCGTCCTTCCGTCATTCCATCATCATCAGTTTCCGTTCATTATCTTAGTAACGTTGCACACATTCAGCTCAAATTTGACACATGGATATATTATGAGAAAAGTTGCAGGTCAAGTTCGAATTTGGTCATGGTTCGATGAGTTTTGACAAAGATTTGCCCCTTGTTTAATTTTCAGTTTCATGGTTCGACGATTTCTGGCGGAGTATTGCCTCTTTCACTTTGTTGTGTATATTCAACTCAAACTTAAAATAGATGGATATTTCATAAAAACATACTGGTCAAGTTTGATTTTGGTCTTAGTTTGATGATAGCTGATAGAGTTATCTTTCTTGAACTTTGAAAAAAAAATCGGAATTTTTTAGTTTCCATTCATTATCTCTCAAATGGTTGTACACTATCAACTCAAAATTGACATATTGATACATCTTAGGAATAATCAGGTAAAGTTTGAATATGGTCGTAGTTCAATGATTTTGGACAAAGTTATCTCTCTTGAATGTTGGAAAAATTTTGGATTTTCAGTTTCAGCACTCATATTTTTGAGGAAATGTAGTCATTATTTTGGCTTTAAATATGCAATATGCAATTTACAAGAGGTTAACACTGAATTGTTTCAGTGCCTTGAACTTGGTATGAAAATGCTTTGTGTTAACATTGAATAGTTTTAAGGGTTTTTGAACTTAAAATGAAAACAAAAATAGTTTGTGGAAAAAATGTGGAACTTAATATTGTAACGTTTGAAACTTTGGCTGCATGCAGGGGCATCCGTGGTGTGACGACACATTTCTAGTGTAAACATCTGTGTTGTCAATTTTTCAGTGGCTTATAGTGCCTGTTAGGGTGGCCATATCTTAAGAAAACATTCAACCCGTTAAGATTTAAAACATTGGATTTGAAATGGCAGTTTTAATAGTTTCAAACAATAACGCCACTGATAAAGAAATGTAATATCTATTTGTCCATCGTACATAAAAATTAACTTGTTTGTAAGTTTGCAATATTATGTCATCCAGCGATAAAGCTGAATATTTCATAATAACATCCTTAAAATAGGTATTTGTTTGATTTCATTAGTCAAGATCGCTATAATGGTTTTATAGTGATCGAGAGTGAAAAAATCATCAAGAAACCAAGAAACCATACAACATTTTATTGTAGATTACTTTTTTGGCTTCTTTGTTAAATGAAGCCAATGTGTAACTTAAAAACATTTTGAGAAGAAATCTGGACCAAGCAAATGACAAATTAATGGACTTTTAGCTTCTATAACAATATTTTATTTAATCAGAAAGATAAAAACGGAACATTTATTTGCCTAGAAACAGCTTCAGTTAGTTGTGCTTAACATATTCTTCTTGCAAACAACGTGTTACAAAATGTTCGTCGTTTTATAGTTGATGGTGTTTGACGATTTTGTTTTTGAGTTTTCTATCCCTGAATTAGATTGTTTTACGATTGTATCCATTTGATGACCACAATTGCACCAAAAGAAAAAATAAGTACAGATATAGCAATAAAAACTGACCAAAAGTAAATTTTATCAACAACTTCGGCAACTTCTTGTCCAGTAATATCGTTACAAATTACAGGTTTAGACGAATCTACTGCTTTTTCATTCACCTCGTCATCGCATGTCAGTGACGCAAGTACATCGTCAGTTACAGATTCAGGTTCAGTTATCGAACATATGGACAAATTTCTCCTTTTCATCACCACCTTTAATATGAAGCTTGGAATTCTCTTTGTATCAACCCTCTTAACATTTGCTAAGTGAACTATAAATATGCTCCACCCTACACCGATTGTATTAATAAGGTTAATCATCAGAATTTCGTATGACATGTAAGGCATTTTCAGTGAATTATTTGGAATTTTGCCAATCGCTGCAGTTGTTGCGAAAACGAGGGACAAATATAAAGTTACTGCAACCGATAGTCTTTCCCCGGAGTCTGGCCTAACATAACATGTTGCTAAATTTAGACTTGACATAAGTATTATAGGAACATATATGTTATTGATTATGAATGTCGGTCTCCTCTTTAAAGTAAAAGATACGTCAACCATGGGGACTGAAATATGTTCAAATCTTTCTTCTTGAATGTGAAGAACCGCTGCATTTGTATTTTCAATATACCATTCACCATTTTCTTGTAGCTGTTTAGTGTTAATATTTGCTGTTGGTAATTGAATTATCAATTCTTCAATTCTATGATTTGACACAATAAATTGGAAGTGACATTGGTGAATATCAAATGGGTATAGCGTGGTATCAACTTCACATCTTGTCTGGTATGTTCCAATGTGAATCAGTGTAACATCTCCCTTGTAAGAAAGCCAAGTAGTAAAGGCATCGCTGTTGTAAATTGAAGACTCAACGTTCACCAGTTGTTTCGTCAGTACGACCTCAGGCTTCCAGATCTTCCCTTTTGGTAATTGAAGAATTCCTTTACCGCCATATTGAGATGGATCCCATGTTAGATATTCGTCTCTCCAAATGATTTCAAAGTAACCTGTGATTATCACCTTTCCGGTCGAGATGTCAAAATGTTCGACGCTTAGTAGATACGTAATGAAATTTACCTGAAATTTCAAGACATTTACATCCATCAATGATATTTAATTCAAATGTACATTTAGTCTTAGTTTATGCAATGCCCTTATTAGCTAGGTTTTCAACTTATTATTATGTCATTTCGGCGAATGGCGGGCGGGCGTTCGGGCGTTTCGGCGGGCGTCAAACAAGTGGTTTCCGGTTGACAACTAAAGTTAGAAATGAAGTATTGTATGTAATCAAATTTAGTATAATATGGTAAGATTATGTATAGACATCACTTGGAATTGCTTTTGGGTAAAAAGGGTTAAAGTTTTTATTACTTAAAGAAGAGAAATGGTTCCCAGTCTTAACTTCAATACAAATTAGATATTCTACTCACTCTTCTTCCTTATGTAGAGACAGAGACCTCATTTTGGATTGCTTCAGGGATGTGTACCATTATTTTTAAAAGTAATTAATTAATTACAATTAAAATATAAATCTTCCCAATTACAGTACAATTACAATTAAATGAATTTTCACATTGTAATTAATTAATTGCAATTAAATTTGAAAAATAATTAATAACAATTAATTATTTTCTAATTAAAATGCTTTAATATAAAAATTAACATAGTTACAAAGCACACCAGATAAAGAAAAATTTATTTTCACTTTGAAAACATTAAATCAATCTCATCAGTCTGTTTTCTGTTCATAATGCCTTGTTACATTTATCAAACATTAGAGCTTCAAAATTTTTGTCACTCATATTGCAGCGATCAGGACGAAAAACGTTGCCTGCAATAGAGAACAGTCTCTCTACAGGTGCAGATGAGGCTGGTAGAGCCAGATAATGAATTGAAAGCTTTGACAATTGGCAATTTAATGACCAATATGTAAGAGGATCAGACTCGTATTTTTATTGAATGTACCAATATTGTGTTGAAACTATTTTGTAGAAAAATTGCAAGATGAGTGAATACTTTTGTGAGCCCTTGATTGATACTTTTTACTTCTGGCAAGTTTTAATGTTAACAATAGTCACCAACAAATACTTGCCAGTATATACCTTAGGCTATATAAATCATGACAATACTCATGAAAAGCTACCTGTATTAAAATCATTGACAGGTGATTATCAGTTATCACTTCTTGAAAGATTATCTATATAAGACAATACAGGTGAAAAGTATGCATTTTACTTAAATCAGATCAATGGTTAATGTGCACAGTTTTCAGATTAATTGAATTTAATTGAATTAAATTGACAATTAAATGAAAAATTTCACAAAGTAATTAATTAATTTCAATTAAAGTAATTGAGTTTTGGTTCAATTAACAAATATTTAAAATTATATGATTTTTAATACTTCATTGTAATTAATTAAATTATATTAAATAATTGTAATTGTACCCATCCCTGGATTGCTTTTGGGTCACAGTTACTAATAAACAGAAAAACGGTTTCCAGTCAATATTTTTACAGACATTCGTTCAAAAACATAAATACCCGATTTAGATCAATAGAAAAAGCCAGTTTGGAAAATATACACTTAGGTGAAAAAATAAAAAGCCATAAAGCATATGGCTACTTTATGGGGGTTTATTTCGACCACCAGTACTGGCATTGTATTTTGCCGGATTGTACATATATATCATATGGGAAAAAAGATAAATTTGCAGTTGAAACCTTTTTTGAATTTTTATGTAGCCATTTGTTTGTCAATATTGTTTTCAGCATTGTAAGTAATTTTGACAGATGCATAGATGAACATAATTTATCTATTTCTGTTGTTGCTTTTATCTTTTTTTATTTTATAAAATAATCTTACCTTAATCAGGTCGGATTGGTTTTGTATTGGTCGAAGAAGTTTGTTATATCTTGTCTCATTGAATAAATGTCCTAGAAGATCGTTTATTTCGGTGTACGTTTGTCCACGCGTCATCGTTACAATATTTACAAGAATGTAACTGAGCCAAAGTGTAACCATCGCAATAAATACTTGATAAAATTGACAGAATTTTATAAGCAAGGAAAATAGTTTTGAACAAATATATTGCCTTTTTCACAACACTTTATACTCTACAATATCAGTTCTAATCCTAACTGTCTAGTAAAATAACTGCCTATAGCGATTCTCTTTTTCAATATACCGTAAAAACTCGTATGTTAGGATGGCGTTCTCAAGAATGGATTAAAGGATTTTTATAAAATTATATTTCAGTAACAACAAAACAAACATAATCCATAGTAAAATCTTGTTTATTTAAATATGCTCTTAAAAGTATTGGCCAAATGGTGATGCTGAGTGCAAAAAAATTCTGGTTTGTTGAAAGTTAAGTTTATTGACTCGCTTATTTGTATTTTTTGTGAGAAAATTAAATTGTAAAACGCGTATGTTTTCATAATATATTTGCAAGCAAAATGTAAAAAAAAATCCACAAAATTAGCCATTTAAACGTTATTTTTATCTCTCTGCGCTGCTTTTACATTAGTTTGAATTGCATCGTTTAACAACAAAATAATCGTGTCTGTATGAAATATTTTAAAAATTTCCTTCTACTGAGTAGAATGATTTAAACATTGGAATGCTGACTTCCATAAGTTCCAATGATTAATTATGATGCCTTTTTAAAAATAAAATACATAACACATCTTTCAGTTCTTATGCAAATAATTATTATATAAAGGAGAAAAGAAATACATAATGCATAACGTTTTGTTATCGAAAATCGATGTTGATTTTTTTTGTAAAAACTTAAACTTGGATATACCTTTATTTACTACTAAAAAATAATTATATTGTTTTCTTAGTCGTTAGTCACAAAAGTCATAGAAATGTAACATTTTGTTAATGTATAACATGCAAATAACTGTGCATCATAAACTTAATGAAAAAGCAACTTGTCCGCTTGAAAGAACTTTTTTTTTAAATTACCTTCATGGCTAATGATGCATGTACCAAAACATTAATAAATAGTTAAATTAACTGAAATAAAATAAGACGCATAATATTTTGTTCAAGTACATTGTATTCTGTATATGTAAAGTTTTTATGACAACATTGACATTCTGTGTTTTCCCCTTTACTTCAAGAATCGGCCATACGATTACGGAAACAACATTTATTTTACTGTTCGTCACAGATATTCTTTCTTATTCCTCTGGAAGTGCATTGAATAAACGTGAAGTGTGTAACAAAGCAGACTACAAGTCACAGCTTGATCTGAAACATTGTCACATTTGCATAGAGAAACCAAACAACATATTTGATAATAGTCACATTTACATAGAGAAACCGTATAACATTTGATAATATTCACATTTACATAGAGAAACCAAACAACATTTGATTATAGCCACATTTACATAGAGAAACCGTACAACATTTGGTTATAGATTACATCTTTATGATTCTTTGAAAATTTTAGCCTATTCAATATCATCTACCATTTTAAGAGGAAATGTGGACAATACAAATGACAAATAAGTAAGCCATCAATCTTTTATGTACAAAAACTTGAGAATTAAGTGTTTATTTCGGATAAAGAGAAACACAGATTGTTTTTACCTGAAAAACAACTTAAGTTTCATAATTTGTCCTTGAAATATATTGCATGCAAATGAGGTATTAACAGTATTATTTTAGTCGTTATCAGCCTTTGTACTGTAACATTCAAAATATTGCCTTACAATGGTTTGCTCAGCAATGACTATAATAACTGTTCATCAACCTAATATTTTTAATTCCTACTTTTGTAATGAAATGGAAGGATTTTATCTAACATATTATAAAATATTTGCATGATATAACGTGTTAAAGTATATAACAAACAATAGCATAATGTAGAAGTATTCTATGACTCCATTTAAATCTTTTAAACTTTTCATGCTTGCTTTGGCGTCGATATTTAGTAAACCAACGAATGAAACCGTTTAAGTTAATATGGATAGAAATTTGATAGTCAGACCTAAATACATTTGAACATCGGTTACGAAACAGTATACAATGCATGAAGAACTTTTAAGATACCTAAGAATCACATATTTACATGTTTACCATGCGTGTTATTTAAAAAGTATTAGCATCAGTAGATGTATTCATAAGACGGTGACAACCGGCACAAAAAGACCGATGTGATATAAATGCAGTTAACGGTGTTTCGATATTAATTGTTTTTGTTGGGATTAGAATTTGTTTTGAAGAGGTTATATACAGTTTGTGTTGGCTACTTTTCTTCATCTTTTTTACATTTTTCCTATAATATACATGCTTTCATATTTAAAATACAAAACACAACACATGTAAAATAAGAACAAGTATAATATATGTTTTCTCCTTAAGGAACAATCTAACAATTTCTTAATTGAAAAAAAACCTGAACATTTTCTTTTCCAACGTAAGTGTTAATTTTAATGGGTAAATCTAAACAAAACCTTGTATGCCAGAGAAGAAAAATAAGTGCCTTTGCATTTCTAGTTAATTTGATATGATAAGAAAAATTAACAAACCTTGACTGAGCTTGTACCGTGTCTTTGTTAACAAAACTCCTATTTAGATTTTAGGTCATTTATTTCTGTATAAATTTGTGTAATTGTAAAACAAAATCAATAAGAAAACTTACAGTACTTTTGTCAGTTTTAATAAGATGTTTTTTTTATATCTTTTGTTAAGTTTAGAAAGATGTTTTTGTACATAAAATGACGCATTGCTTCTTATGGCTTCTTCCATTTATAATCTGTCACCACTTTTAACAGGAAGCATGGACCACTCAAGTGATGACTTAGTAACCCATTAGCTTTTATTGTCGTGCTGATTTTTGTCAGAAAATATAAATCTTTTTAGCGAGGGAGTCCATTTATTTCTTGGAATAAATTGCACGCAAATAAGATGCTAGATCGTAATTTTCTTGCTTTGTAAAAGGTCATTTCAAAATGAGGCCTCATTTATTCATAAAACGACTTTTTTCACAAAAACGCTAAATAAAGGTCAAGGAACGAAACAAGGGAAACAAAATACCCTTTACAAACATTATCACGCATGGATATGTATGTGTGTATTTTCGTTAATTTATACACTCCACCGCTTGCTCATACGGGCTAGTCCTTCAAATGAGGATGAGTCATTTCGGATTTCGGAGGATAGTGCAAGACACACATACAGAAAGATGCCCCAATGCCAGAAACTTCTCTTGGTTCTTTTGCGTATCAAGTGTTTAAGAACTTAAGGACATTACTACAAGTCTCACCCATTAACTAATTGAGCTTTGCGGACTGACTGACATATGAATACAAATAATCTATAAACATATTTTACTAGAAACATTGGCATATCCGTACTTAAAAACATGTAAGCCATTTATTTAAAGCAATTTCTTGTTATTTTACAGATTCACTGTGCTTATCTTTAAGTAAATACTTCTAAATTTATTTAAATCAATGAAGTTCTTATTAAATATGCTTAGTTTGTGTAAGAGAAATCAATGCGACCTTGCCAAAAATATATTGCAGAATTTTTTAATTGAACAGAACAAATCATACATTTTATTTTGAATGTCTTTATGTATTCATACTGGCATGACCACTGAGGTACGGACTTTTCACTTTTCTAAATTTAACATCATTTTAAAAATTAAATTCTGATTTCTGCTGATATATGGCTTGGTCGGTAAAAATGAATTTGATATTGAAATTATAGTGAATATTCAGATGTTGGGTGTAAAAAGAACGTTCGAATAGAATATTTCGATTCTTATACTTATTAAATAGAAAAAAATAATTTTGATCATACATAACGTATTGCTCAGTTCGATTTGCTTGTCAAACGATCTATCATGTTCACTTTTAAGGGGAAATGTAAACAAAGTGCTAAATAAGTAAGCTATTAGCTTTATAACAGAATGATGATTTCTCCGGAAAAGGAAAGTGTGAAAAAACTATTTACCTGTGACATTATGTCTTCCGTCACAAAACTATGAAACAAGAAACATGGCTTAAGGCGATAGATGCAGTTCCCGAATCTGCACAATTGCTAAGGCTTTTAAATACAGAAAAGGATTTAATTATGTCAACATATAAAAGCATAAAAGGTATAAATATATAATTTATTTTAAGCAAAAGTGACCACGACGTCGACCCAAGAGATCCCTCATTTTGCAAAACAGTTTGAGAACAACCCAAGGTACCTACTACATATGAATGGCATCAGTCAATAAATACTAGATACGTTGATGAAAGTCTAGAGGCTAGAATTATTTATTAAATCAACATAGGATTAATATTCAGTTTAATTTTACACCTCATAAAATATGACCAATGAACCTTCAGCGTTTGAACCGTGTTAAGTTCGAATAAAAATCATTATTGAATATAATTATATCAATTTAGCTGCGTTTTTATTTCAGAAGTTCAATCAAATACATATGAAATACTTATCGTACTAAATATAACCGCGTTTTCATTTTCAGAATATCTATATTAAATGCATATTTTAACTATTATATCTTTATTTCCATTTTCAGAGTCCAAAATTTCTATTCTAAATGCATATCATACTCAATTTAGCCTATTTTTAATTTCAAGACTCCATAAATTGAATAAAATTAAGTAATGTAACATATCATAATAAAAATGTTCGAATAAAACTTTGAAACCTTTTTGTTTATTTTGGTATATGTGTGTTGAATAAAATACTAATGCATTTAACAAAAAGAAATATGAGAGTGAGGATTACGACTGACTATTAAATTTATGTTTTTATCAGCTCTATTACGTGTTTTTAAGTGAAGGAACAAATATTTATATTTTTTCCCGTTTTTCTCTTTTTTATGAAATACATTTGGATTGTCAAATGATAATTTTAAGGATAAATTTATGGGATACATTATTTCCTGTCATGATATCTGCTCGGTACTTAATATGCTTGTAAAAAAGGGGTGAATAAAT